ATAATAATAATAATAATAAAAGTAATAGAAATAATAATAATAGTAATAATAATTATTATAATAATAATAGTAATACTAGAAATAAAAACAGTAGTAATAATATTAATAATAATAATAGTTATAATAATAATATTTACCTTACAAAGAAAGGAAAAAATATTTTTACAAATGTTGCCACCCTGACTAGCATGCGACTATATCCATTATGTTTTCCAGGGGGCCACTATGTTTGGGGACCCGGGCTCACGCAGTAGCCTGTCTTTGGATCTTGATATGAGTTGGGGCATTGTCCTACAAGCCTATCGCTGTCTGACCACTGATGGAGAGGATGACGCCAGGCATAAGGTGGGTAACTACCCCCCCAGGGGATTTTTCATCCATTCAGAGACTTATGTGATCATGTTGGCTGCTCATCCCTCTATTTTCCTGCATGCTCACTCTTTTTCTTATTTGTGCAATGTATATTTGTCATTGTGGGTATTTTGTTTTTATATATTGACTTTTTTGACTGGTGCAGTGTGGTGAGGCAGGAGACTGGTACATTGTGATGGGCATGGTAGGCTCTGGTACAGTATAATGAGACAGGAGACTGGTGCAAAGCAAAAGGACAGGAGACTGGTACGGTTCCTTGGTGAGAAAGTAGACTGGTACAAAGAGGTGAAACAGGAAACTGGTACAATGGAACTGGGCATGGGAGGGTGGTGGGGTGCAGGAGACTAGTATAACGATACTGGTTCATAAAATGCTGATATATTGTGATGGGGAATTGTAGAATAATGAGTCAGCATACCGGCACAGTTTAATGGTGTTACCATGGCCTGGGGCACAGGAGACTAGTGAAGGGCAAATCTGCCTGGGTTTGTTTTCCCAAGGCCTCTGCAAATCTTGTTAGAAATTCGGCAAACATAAACCTAAAGGCAAATCCTACTGAAGTTTATTGGGGGCAAAGCTTGTTAAATTATTTCCATTTTTAGGGCTAATAAAATGTCAGAAAAGACCTGTGAAGTTGGACACCGCCATGGAGACATGTACCAATAAGTTTAAACTAAAAATAATATCAATAATAAAATACTAATAAATACTTATTTTCTATCCTCCTCAGCTCCATCTACTGGCCATTTAGCAGCATTACATTTGACCTGATTCTGACATTTGTTTTTGTGCACAGAATGAAAGTTTTCAGAGATTCGCAGGGCGAATGGCTCTGCAAATTGTATATAAGTAGACCCCTATAGTGATTTGGTAAAGGATGATGTGATATTGAACAGGATAGCAGCATATTGGAAGACGTGAAGATGACACATTCTGAGTGGCATAGAAAGCAAGCTAAGTTGGCACGAAAACCTGAACTTAATTGGCAGATAGCAACAGAAATGTTCAGCAAGGCTGGTCTGTGATGAGGGTAATTTGAGCAGTTCAAGGACGACATAACATACACAGTAATTGCTGGTTTTTCACAAATATTAATTATAGGTTTTAGGATTTTAAAATATGACACCATGACCCGTGAATGTTCTTTATCACACCCTGATAAGATCTCTACGGCTTTTAAATTGTTCACTATAGCATGCCGTCCCCGAAATGTGTCAATATGACATTGGAGGACACAGACAGTATTATAGCAAAGACTATTACCCCTATCAGATATGACTACAGTAAGTGCCTGTGTTGATGGGCATTGGTTCGCTTCATGCGGGGAGTGTTGTATTAACATACAAGTCTATAGGAATTCAAAACCTCTTTGATGCAGATCATATGGACCATAAATTCTGAATTATCTCAGCAGCACCTCAAAATGACATCCAACTGATGCCACCGATACAAGTCCAAAGCCGGATGACACGGCCCCTTACCCTTGTCTCATTACCCCCTGTGACATCATATTACAGTAACCCGGCTCCTGAGTGTCTTATTACCCCCGTGACCCGGCTTCTGAGTGTCTTATTACCCCTGTAACATATTACAGTAACCCAGCTCCTGAGTGTCTTATTACCCCTGTAACATCTTATTACAGTAACTCGGCTCCTGAGTGTCTTATTACCCCCGTGACCCGGCTCCTGAGTGTCTTATTACACCTGTAACATATTACAGTAACCCGGCTCCTGAGTGTCTTATTACCCCTGGAACATCATATTACAGTACCCCGGCTCCTGAGTGTCTCATTACCCCCTGTAACTTCATATTACAGTAACCTGGCTCCTGAGTGTCTCATTACCCCCTGTAACTTCATATTACAGTAACCTGGCTCCTGAGTGTCTCATTACCCCCTGTAACTTCATATTACAGTAACCTGGCTCCTGAGTGTCTCATTACCCCCTGTAACTTCATATTACAGTAACCTGGCTCCTGAGTGTCTCATTACCCCCTGTAACTTCATATTACAGTAACCTGGCTCCTGAGTGTCTCATTACCCCCTGTAACTTCATATTACAGTAACCTGGCTCCTGAGTGTCTCATTACCCCCTGTAACTTCATATTACAGTAACCTGGCTCCTGAGTGTCTCATTACCCCCTGTAACTTCATATTACAGTAACCTGGCTCCTGAGTGTCTCATTACCCCCTGTAACTTCATATTACAGTAACCTGGCTCCTGAGTGTCTCATTACCCCCTGTAACTTCATATTACAGTAACCTGGCTCCTGAGTGTCTCATTACCCCCTGTAACTTCATATTACAGTAACCTGGCTCCTGAGTGTCTCATTACCCCCTGTAACTTCATATTACAGTAACCTGGCTCCTGAGTGTCTCATTACCCCCTGTAACTTCATATTACAGTAACCTGGCTCCTGAGTGTCTCATTACCCCCTGTAACTTCATATTACAGTAACCTGGCTCCTGAGTGTCTCATTACCCCCTGTAACTTCATATTACAGTAACCTGGCTCCTGAGTGTCTCATTACCCCCTGTAACTTCATATTACAGTAACCTGGCTCCTGAGTGTCTCATTACCCCCTGTAACTTCATATTACAGTAACCTGGCTCCTGAGTGTCTCATTACCCCCTGTAACTTCATATTACAGTAACCTGGCTCCTGAGTGTCTCATTACCCCCTGTAACTTCATATTACAGTAACCTGGCTCCTGAGTGTCTCATTACCCCCTGTAACTTCATATTACAGTAACCTGGCTCCTGAGTGTCTCATTACCCCCTGTAACTTCATATTACAGTAACCTGGCTCCTGAGTGTCTCATTACCCCCTGTAACTTCATATTACAGTAACCTGGCTCCTGAGTGTCTCATTACCCCCTGTAACTTCATATTACAGTAACCTGGCTCCTGAGTGTCTCATTACCCCCTGTAACTTCATATTACAGTAACCTGGCTCCTGAGTGTCTCATTACCCCCTGTAACTTCATATTACAGTAACCTGGCTCCTGAGTGTCTCATTACCCCCTGTAACTTCATATTACAGTAACCTGGCTCCTGAGTGTCTCATTACCCCCTGTAACTTCATATTACAGTAACCTGGCTCCTGAGTGTCTCATTACCCCCTGTAACTTCATATTACAGTAACCTGGCTCCTGAGTGTCTCATTACCCCCTGTAACTTCATATTACAGTAACCCGGCTCCTGAGTGTCTTATTACCCCTGTAACATGACTGTAGTTGGTATATATCATCTCTCACGGCATGACTCGAGTTTTGCTTTGAATTCCAGTGTTTTGGCAACAAATATGCTGAGATTGTTTGTTTATACATAACATAATGCAGTTTTATAACCATAGGCAATCATCCTAACAGAAAAGGTGTTCTTTCGGTCACCGAATATCAGAAAAACAACTGTAATAATCACATTATTGTATTATTATTGGTTTACATATACTTTATTGCACTGCTTTCTTGGAACACCAATTGTTACAAGTAGAAAAGCAATCTGTACACTCTGATCCTTCCTGTGCGTTGGGTAAGGTGGCTATCTTTTAGCATGGTTCATTACTTTTACGTACCTAAAGCTTGGTGCCAGACAAGCTACTGGGAATTCTTCTATTGCTGCAAACCGTAATTGACTGTTACCTAAGATGTGATGTTCGGTTAATGCCAGAGAACCCTAAGACCATGTAAATGAGGGGTGCTCTATTCTGCAAGCAACTACTCCAGCTTTCATGGCTGGCTCCTTCCTGTTCCTTTTGACCAAAAAGTGTGATGGACAGCCATACCATCCAATAGGAAGACAAGAAGAGTAGGAAGGGCTGTACCGCAGTTCATACATAAGCTGCTTGGATGCTGTAGGCAGAATAGAGCACCCTAGAGTTTTGGGGTCCCGGGCTGCTATCTCAGAAGTAGCTGAAGTGTTAACTGTTTCACCCCTATGCATATGTCTTAAAATATAAATCCAATCACTAAACTCTCATACAAGCTTTATCAAGCTCATGCAATTTTGAAAGTCATTTTTAATCTTTGCATATCTGCAGCTTTCATTAAAATAATCTGTGGCGATCCCGCCATGAAGATTCTTGTTCATCTTATAGGGTGACAACGCTCTTTTTCTGTTTCCCAATTGTGCCCCTGTGTCGTTACCCGAACGTCTGAACGTTACCTTTTTATATAACTTGCCCCTCCCTTTTTAGATTGTAAGCTCTTATGAGCAAGACCCTCCTAAACCTCTCGTCTTGTATTGTAATTGTACTGTCTCCCTTTATTTTGTAAAGCGCTGTGCACACTGTCGGCACTTTATATAAGTCCTGTATACATGCATGAGATACGAGAGATCAGCAGGACTGCAAAAATGGAGAGAAAAAAAAAAAAGGTTAATTAGAAGTAGATTTAAAAAAAAGATTAAAAAACTTGCAATTGCACATCATTTGAGGACAGACAGAGGTCTGAGTGCCTGCTACGTCTACCTGTGTATGTCTATCCTTGATTTGATGGTGAATGTTCAGAGGTTTAGGGACCCTGATCCCTTAATTGATAGCTCATTCACAGTCTCCCACAGCGCCTATTCCCACAAGAACTGAGTAACCTTGTTATGAACTTTTGCCATATCAGCTGCTCCCTCCTCCTTCACTCTTTCCTTCCCTTCCTGCACTCTGACCAGCCCACTTACCCTTACCCCTTCTGTCTTCAGATTCCCAACTTCTCCTGAGCTGCCCCCTACCTGTCCCAGAATCCCCCTGCTCCCTCTATCATCTCTCCTGCAGCTCTATCTCTGCTGCTTCTCTTCATCGTCCTCTGCTCCCTCCTCCCTGCCTTGCCAGGACTCTTCTCCCTCCCTGCCTCGCTCTCTCCTCTCCTCCTCCTCCTCCACCTCCTCCACCTCCTCCCCTCTCCCTCTGTGGAGGGCTGGGATTTATTCCCTTGATGATATCAGTCTGAGGATTTCAAAAGAAAAAAACTTTCCACAACAG